TCAAGACTTAAATTTCATTCGGTATGAGATAGGTTTGCTATGGATGGAGCTAACTTTTTGTTCAAGTGTGAACTAGAAATAAAAAAAGAATGAGCATTTTACTATAATGCTCCAATTATAAATGAGAACATCATAAGGTTTGATGCAACAATTGATTCTATTTTGATCGAGTTCAATCCAACTATATTGGGGAAAAATTGTTAAATTGCCAATTTGGTCCCGACTCTTTTTTAGCTTCAACACTTATAGGTTTCGATATGGCCATTATAAGTGGATCGAATCTAGTAAATCGCTAATATCATTACAAGTCGTTATCATAATGGAACTGTGACAAGTTCTCTAATTTCTGTTTATATGACAATAAGCCAATGGTGAGTTTACATATAGGGATAAATATGGTTTAAGGATGACTTGTAAGATACAGCCAAGCCATAAAAGTGTTTGTTTGGTATCTTATCCAGATTCAATTTCTTGTTTCTAGATTCACTTGAGTTCAATGGATTTATATTTAGAGGGGGTTATTTATGAAAAATTAGTATTTTGATTATATTTGTATTCTGTGACTTATAAAGTGAAAATTTGAAAATAGCAATTACATATTTTCAATGTCTTCAGGCTCTCAATCTCCTATCAAAGAACATTAAAAAAACATTAGAGATATGTAAAACAACAATATTTTCAATTAAACCCCTTGTTTTCAAATTACTGTTTCTGGATCATCACAAACTAAACACGGCCACACTCTTAGAAGACCCTATTGGTAATTCAACCTAAGATCCCAAATCAACCAAGAAATTTCAACAGTGGGAGTAAATAAGATGAATCATGCATTAAATTCATTCCACAAAAGAAACTCTCCACTTGGGCCTGAGAAAAGTAAAACAAAATCAACACAGAGAATTGAAAGCCACGAACAAAAACAGCTTCGGAATAAAAAAAAAACACACTCAAATCACTCAAAATCCAAAATGAAAAGACAAGATCAGCACAGGAACATTTGAAACCCTAATCCTACACATCCAGAACATTACACAGCAACAAACCCCCAAAATTGTGAAGTTTCAAGCAATATAAAAGGCCATAAAGAGAAGAGAACAAGCGTAAGACGCTGAAACTCACTGAATTACAAAGCTTCTGTAATCGATTCGAGCATCGAACAGAAAGTCGTCGGATTTCTACTGTCTCACTGTCCCTCTCTCAGCTCCGTAGACATTTTTCTTATTTTTCGGCTTCTTTTCGTATTTCTTTTTTTTTTTTTTTTTTTTTTTTTTTTTTTTTTTTTTTGCAATAAATATATGGCAAGTCTCCTGCTCAGATTATTTATCCTTCGGACGTCAACTCCGGAATTTAGAAGCAGTTAATGCCACGTAGGAGACTTTTGTCAGCTGACGTGTAACCAGTTTTTTTGGGAGGAGGGAATTGGCGGTTGAGATGGAGTTCAAATGGAATCTGGATATTGGACGGTTTGGATCTGAAATTCGTTTATTCCTTCGGGGATCAGAGGGCCCACACACAACATAGGTCATTTTTTGTTTTTGTTTTTTTCAAATAGATTAATTAATTAATTTTATATAATCTTCCGGTAATACTGGTTCAAATTAATATTTAATATATTTAACATAAAATACAAAAAAAATATATATATTTAATTTGAAGTATTTAAACAATATATATTTAAAATTTAAATGAAAGATGTCTTATGATATAATTTAAATAAAATATTATATATTTAAATATATTATTTAACAAATATATGAGTTGGCATTTTGTGAGCGGAAGAATTAGAGCAAATAGATTAAAGATCCAATAAAACTTTATTCATAAACTTCTTGGCTAGTTTCGATTAATCTTAAATAAGTTAAAAGTTGATTTCTAATGTTTCCTCGACGTGAATAAAATGTTCATTCTCAACCCAACGGCTAAAGCTTCGGTCTGGTGCGATCCTAATTCTACTTGGGTTCAAATCGATTCAAGGATCAAAATGTCGAATGGTTAACGATCAACAATTCGAGGATTTTTGACATGTCAAAAGATGATTTGGGTCTGAATCACATCAAATTTCCTCTGATTTAGATGGACTTGGGATTTTCGGCCCTTAGATTTTGTGATTACTTTAAGCATGTGTAGTAGGATTCATGAGTAACAGGGGTGTGTGTATGTTACAAGGCTTATTATGCTATGAGATCTATCTCGAGAATTTGCGTATGATGTATGTATGTCAATCATGATACGATAAGGGGAAAGAATTGTAGCTATGATTTTAAATAATGAATAAATGCTAGCTATGTGGATGATGTGAATGTTTATTATAATGCATCACGAGTTATAACCTATGCTATCTAAACTGTGGGATCTCGTGTATTATACGATCATGAACAAGATGAGATTGTGAAAACTTGAGTAAGTTTAGAAAAATTGTTCGAAATTTGAAGATTCTTGACATAGATTTTTAAGCAATAATTGTTAGTAGGCTTCAAGACGTACTTTTTATTCACACAACAAAGTGAATTGAAAAGCATAGTGCTTACGATTCTTCTGTTCTAAGAAACTCCCCTTCAAATTGTTCTTTCTATTTCATTTATTTGTTTCGATATATTTCGATCGTGGGTTATATATCCAACATCAAATTCATGTTATATGATCAAGATGTCTTGGTTCATATCATATTCCGTTATGACTTTGTACTGTGGGGTTATTTTAGGATATCTCGTTTTGCCTCCCTTACCTAAGCAAATGACGGGCTCATGGAGGGTATTCATGCATGGTACTTGTATGCAACGACTCCACAATGGAATTCATTAGTCAGCTACAAGGAAAAAAAAAACTTTGAGATTGCTGAATAACAAACGAAATAATAAAGCAACCGAAATTTGGATTCGAAAGATCAAACTCACAAATAAATTTCTCTTCGTATTCTAATATTTAGTCGTTTTTCATTATGACCATTTTAATCTAGTCATTCAGGTAAATTTACATTCAATTTCGACAATAAGTTAAAAAACGATTTCATTTCTATGATCCATTAACTATAACATTATTTTACAACATCAAAGATTGATATGTCCGAGTGATTAAAGAGATAGATTTGAAATCTGTAGGGGTTCGTAGTAGGTTTGAACCTTGCTATCAATGTTAAACTTATAGAAGCATGAAGGTCGATATTGTGAATGGTTATAGAGACAAACTTGAAATTTGTTGGGCCGCTTCAAATCTATTCAACTTACCAGGTTCGAACTTTGTTGATGTTTTTTAAATTGAATTTAAAATTGAAAAACAAAACACCATTCAATAAATTTTAAAATAATTCAACTTTTATATGAATCTAATCTATTGACTACAAAAAAAAATTTATAGCATCAAGGTCGATTCGTGTGGTTAAGGAGATAAACTTGAAATCTGTCGGGTTTCGCCCACACAGGTTTGAACTCTTACGTTTTTTTTTATTTGATTAACCCACAATAAATTTTAAAACCGTTCAACTTTTATATGAATCTATCTCTTTGTGTTCACTAAACATGAAGATTAATAGGTATGAGTGGTTAATGAATCTCTATCTATTGACTTTAAATTTGATGTAAAAATTTAAAAACAAAACATCAAAAACATTTAAAACGTGATTTATTTGAGCTCGATCAAACTCGCAATTCAATAAATTTTAAAACAATTCAATTTTTATATGAATCTATCTATTGACTTAAAAATTACCAACAGCATCAAGGTCGGTATGTCCAAGTGGTTAAAGAGACCAACATGAAATCTGTTGAGTTTTGCTGCGCTGGTTCGAACTCTTTTATTTGAATCTATCTATTGACTTCAAAAATTCCCTACAACATCGAGGTTGATATGTCTGGTTAAGGAGACAGATAGGTTTGAACGACGTTTGATTTATTTTAGCTTAATCAAACCCACAATTCAATAAATTTTAAAACAATTCAACTTTTATTCGAATCTATCTATTGAGTTCAAAAATTTCCAACAACATCAAGGTCGATATGTCCAAGTGGTAAAGGAGACAAACTTGAAATCTATTGGGGTTCGCCGCAGGTTCGAACCTTGTTGTCAATGTAAACAATTCAACTTTTATTCGAATCTATCTATTAACTTCAAAATTTTCCTACAATCGAGGTCGATATGTCAATATGTTTGAGTGGTTAAGGACACAGACTTGAAATCTGTTGGGCTTTGCTTGCGCAGATTCGAACCCTGGAGACAGACTTGAAATCTGTTGGGCTTTGCTGGCGCAGATTCGAACCCTGGAGACAGACGTGAAATCTGTTGGGCTTTGCGCAGATTCGAACCCTGGAGACAGACGTGAAATCTGTTGGGCTTTGCGCAGATTCGAACCCTGGAGACAGACGTGAAATCTGTTGGGCTTTGCGCAGATTCGAACCCTGCTGTCGTTGTTTGATTTATTTTAGCTCGATCAAACCCGAATCTATTTATTGACTTCAAAAATTTCTTCAAAAATTTTCGGTAGCATTGAGATCGATATGTTCGAGTGGTATCAAAGTTTGATTTATTTTAGCTCGATCAAACCCGCAATTCAATAAATTTTAAAACAATTCAACTTTTATTTGAATCTATCTATTGACTTCAAAAATTAGCTATAGCATCGAGGCCGATATGTCTGAGAGGATAAGGAGTTATAGCATCGAGGTCGATATGTCTGAGAGGATAAGGAGTTATAGCATCGAGGCCGATATGTCTGAGTGGTTAAGGAGACAGACTTTGTATGTCCGAGTGGTTAAGGAGAAATCTGGGTTATATAGATAGATATACATATATATATATATAATTATTATTTTTAATCCTAAAAAAAAAAGAATTTGTTTTTTCTTTCAAATAACAAATAAAACAAAAACGATTTCCGAAAGAATCGATCAAATTCAGCCCTAATTTCCCGACCTGCGAATCGCCGTCATCGATTTCGATGCAAATCAGGAAGTTTCATCTAAATATAGCTTTGCAATTCAAGATCAAAGCACCATAGAAACGTACCTTCCACCGAAAATCGCTGGGATTTGCACCTATAAATCACATTCATTCCATCTCCATTTCATCAGGCAGCAATTTCCAAAGCGAAGGTGTTTCTCGGTGTTTCTCGGTGTTTCTCGAGTTCTTCACCGGATACCGCCACAACACAAATCCATAACCGAAAACAAAAAACAAATCTCAAAATCGCAATGGAGATGAAGAAGATCACCTGCGCCGTCCTCTTCGCTGCCGCAACCGTCACCGCCGCCGTGGCTCAGAACGAGGCGTCGGCTCCTGCACCTGGACCAACCAGCGCCGCCACTGTCGGCCTTCCAGCAATCGGCTCTCTCATCGGCGCTTCGTTGCTCTCCGTTGCTGCCTACTACTTGCAATGATGGATGGGATGATTTGCAAAACGAAAACTTCATATAACGATGGTGACAATGGTTTAATAAATCTTTAAATTTTTCTTTGTTAAACGCCATCGATATCAATTCTTATTGAGACATAAATGAACAGCCATTTTTTTTATTTGAAGCATATCTCAACTCGTTTTTTAGGATTAAATAATAATAATAATAATAATAAATTATTACCTTATATTATTTACATGCTCACATGGTCTCGAAAACTAATAGAAAGAGGAGTTATATCATGGTGTACATGTCTGTACCAAACATAGGGAGAAATTATCCCATGTTCGTGACTTCTAATATGCATGAGGTCTTATAATACATGGTTATGATTCCCATCATACTTCCATTCTTTTCATGACATAACTCCTCTATGAGATATGATACATATACATGACACTTCTTTCATGATTATCATACATGGTTCAACGGTGTCTCATAGGCATAATTGAACATGATATCATAACATACATGACGTAACATACTGGAAATACATGCATAATAACATCAGATAATGACACAAATTGGTTATAGAGCATGTGTCGTTCATACATCACTCAAGTCATCCAACCAAACTCAAAAGTATTCTAATAATAAGTTTACTTACTTTGTTGGCTTAAGTCGCTTAAATTCACATAATGATGTCAACTCATCAAAGCTCAAAATGCTTGAAATTGCTAAGCATTAGGTCCAACAATTAGAGGTGGCTTGGGCACATGCACTGGGTTAAAATGCAGGTCATAGCTTGGGTCAACATGCGGGTCACTAGCAGGTTGGTGCATGAGCTGGAGGTCTACTGGGTTAAAATTGAGCTTGCTACGTGTGGGCTGGCTAAGGAAAGACCGTATGAAGTTCCTATGATTGAACCAAACGAGGACATCCAACTTTCATTCATAATTTTATTTATTTATTTATTTATTTGTTTTTGTTTTCATAAGGAAAAAGAAAAGAAAAAGAATATTGAAGGATTTTGTAGCGTAAAAATCATGCACCAAGAATATGTCTAAATTATTTAAATATTTAAATATTTAAATATGTCTAATAAATTCGTAAAACTAATGAACTTTATAAATTCAAAATTTTATATAATCTTAGATATGTGAATTTAAAAAAAAAAAATTGGGTTTAAAATGGTAAAAATCAGATTTTACAATACTAAATATCCTTAACAATTTACCATATATATCATATTATAATGTAAATATTTAGATATTTATTTTTTACCTTGTTATTTTAATTTATTTGATTATAAAAGCAAGCATGATTAAGTCTCATGTATATAATTTACCATATACATCCAAGGTTATATATGCTAAGCCGTTGTTATCTCTCTCTTGTTTGCTTATATAACGTCTCTTTCAAAAATCTCTCTTTCTAAAATCTCTCTCTACCCTCGTTTTCCAAAAACCTTCTTTTAAAACCGAGGCTAGAGGCTTGATCATACGTCGCTTGGCCGTAGGCGACGCAAGTACAAATTGGCTTAGCTCACTTGTCGTTGGAAAGTGAGTGCCGCACAATCGCTAGTCCGCTGCCTGCCTTTAAACGTGCAATTGAACATCGCTCGCAAAATTCAAGATTGTTCAACCACACATATTGTCTGCGTGTGCATGTTCGTCTGCGACACATCTAACTTGTCTCTAGTTAAATCATTGTGCTCGACTTTGGCTCTGCTTGGGCCAAGTCCAAAAACTAAATAGATACAATTATGAATGGTTCAGGTAGCGTGGGTAGTGGAAAGAAAAGGGGCGTGGTTGTAAATTATGAGTTTATAAAGACTAAAGAGAAGAGAGAGAGAGAGATACCCATTTTTTTCCCATTTCAAAGAAGAAAACGCGATTTGAGGGTGAGGTTCAGAGAATCTGTGCAGAGAGAAAAGGAGAATTGATCGGGAATCAGAAAAAACCGAATTAGAAGCAAAAATCGAGTTGGTGTTCATCGTGTTCATTGATTTTGATCCATGGAGATTCCCAGGAATGTAGCGAAGTTCAGATTCCACATTGTAGCAGCCCTAATCGTATGCCTAATTCTCTTCTCCCTCCTCCTCCTCGCCCCTAAATTCCTCTCCCTCCTCGCCTTCTTCTGGCCTCTCCTCCTCTCCACCGCCCTCTTCCTCCTCGCCGTCCTCCTCTTCACCAACACCTCCCTTCCTCTGCCCGATAAAGCCGCCGAAGGCCTCCTCAACTATGTCGCCGGCCACCCCGACCACCACCTCGACGCCGATTAATCACACGGTTATTACTATACCGCTTTTCTACTCGATTCCCCCCGTTTTCACGCCGATCTGAATGTCATGAACATGCTTCTCATTTCTACTGTTTTTTTCCCCTTTCTTTGGATCGATTACTGGTAGTATGTAGATGAAATCGCTATGTGTTTCTTGTTTCTGCTGCTTATGAATTTCAGTTGTTGATCTCATGGATTTGAGCTTGAATCTGGAAATATCTTTTTGGCTAAGATCGACTGAATCGAGTGGGAGAGTGAAAGGGTTTTTATCTGTTTTTTTTTTTTTTTTAATTTCTTTTTAAAAACTAAAACACGTGTTTGCTACTGATAGGTTATTCAATTGATTAATTGTAAATAATCGTAAAGCATTTATAAATAAATATTGTATTTTTTTAAAGAATTTAAAAAGAAAATTATGAGTGTTTTATAATTTAATGTTTGAATCGAATAGACAAGATTTCTTTTGGACGTTATTATGTTGGGGTTTTTGTGGGGTCCAAAAACCATTCATTATTTAATGCACCGTTAATAAAATATGTAGATATTTAATTTTGCAAGAAACAAAAATAATAAAATAAATAATAAAATGTTTGAATTTTATACTCCAAATTTTCATTTCAATCACTCATTTTAACTATAAATAATCTTATAAAATTCGATACAAATTTAATAATATAAATTATAAATTCAAATTTTAACCTTTTTAATGAATTAAAGTTAGGATTATTTTACTATTCTAAAATTATATTAAATAAAAAAAATTGTCAGATTTAATGGTATTCAAATTCAAGTTATAAAAAATGTTCAAATTCATGGGTCCATAATAATGTTGCATTTATTATCTGTATTATATTATTAAGATTATTTCTTTAATTTTGCCTAAATGTAAGGGAGAAATTTAAGAAAGTTGGCTTTTTTTATTATTATTATTATTTTTAATGGATGAAAAAAAAAATAATTATACCTATTTAAAACATTTTAGAGCCTATATAGGAGATCAATGGAAATCATAGAGAAAAGTAAATAGATCAATGTTTTCATTAAATTTGAGTATATAATTTTTTTAAACCGTGAGTTTGACAATAATATGTAATGAGCCAAAAATAACAATAAACTTCGGCTATTATAAATGATATCAGAGTCAAACATTGAGCAGTGTATCAGCAAAAACATTAGACCCTCAAAGGAGTGGATTGTGAAATCCCACGTCGATTAAAGAGGGAAACGAAACATTCCTTATAAGGGTTTGGAAACCTCTCCCTCGTTTTTAAAATCATGAGACTGACGGCGATACGTAACAAACTAAAGCGAACAATATCTTATCTATAAGCAGTAGACTTGAGCAGCAATTACAAACAGTATCTAACTATGATCGGAGTAGAGGTAAACCCTCTCAATAGCAGACGAGTTTAAAAATCGTGAGACTGATAACAATATGTAATGAACCAAAACGGACAATATTTGCTTGAGCTATTATATCTCTGACCTATTTGAGAGCTAAATCGAGGAGGATCAGTCAATGAACATTACTTATCAAGCTAGGTATCCTTCCTCTATTTACTCCTCTAACTCGAAGTCATGTTGTCATGTTAGGTAATGATAATAATCATCGGACACTTAAAAAATGTATAAACATATATCTATGTCAGTCGAGAGATATGTAATACTATTCTAATTTAACTCGAGACTAAACACTGATTAAAGAATTAGATCATGTTGAACACAATTCTTAAGTTTTCTCGAACGGTCACTCAACTATTGCTATCGACAACGAGCTGACCCAGTGACTATCACACTGATAGTCCTAGAAAATGTTGAATTATAATTCTAGAAAAAAGCCCATCTGATCTGACATCTCTAATAATTACATAATCAATCGATCACGAGATCCTTCTATTTGAGTTTCCAAATAAGAATATTTGAAAAGAGAGAAAAATCAGGAGAAATTGAAGTGAACAGGTCAACTTGAGGAAGATAAACAGAGTACACAGCCCTCTCTTTATTCCCCTCCATGACCAGAACCCTTCAACAATCTCCATTGATCAGCTTCAATGGATCACTCAATTGCAGAAATGGTTCACTCCATAAACAGACACCCTTTTCCTTGCCTTTCTTGTTCTTCTAAACCTAAACATTTTCACTTTGTTGCACAGCAAAAGTCCAAGAGATTCTACAGAACATCTATGGTTTCTCTCTTTACCTCATTGTTCTTCATGTTCTTCATTGTTCTTCATTGTTCTTCATTGTTTTTGATTCCCAGGTATTTACACCATCACAATGGATTCAGATGATGGGTCAGTCAGAACCTGTGGAAGAGTGAATCCAAGAACATTCCTGAAAGCGATTGAAAAGTCAGGCAAACATGCAGAGGTTAAAAGTATAAGATTTGATGGTGAAGCTGGAGATAGAAGATATTACCCTTACGGAGATGATCCAATTCATCATCTTTATCAGAATTCCCATGAACAATCTCGCTGGTTTGACACAGCTTACCCCCACCAACCACCGCTGCCGCCGCAGCCATACCTTGGCAGTTCATGCTGCCACAGCCACAGCCGCAGCCTGTCCCATGGCCAATGATAGGGCCGGGCGGGCCTCCTGGTAATCCAGCCCCTGAGGAACCCAGCCAAGATAATAACAACAATCAGAGATGTTGTTCAATTATGTGAGAGACTATGAATGGACACTACATTCATAGCTTCTCTTCCTTGTTTTGTTGAAGAACACACCAAATTCTCCCTGTTTCTTTTACTAGATTATACTTGTTTTGCAAAGAAAAATCATGGACTCAGTAGAAAAGGGTGTTTAATATACCATTATATGTAACTAGTTTTTTACAAGATGCACTAAAATCCCACCAAGATCAGTACATACAGCCAAACAAAGACACAGCTACTAATATCTCTGCATCTTAAACAAACATCACATCCATAAAGAGCTATACAAACAGCAAACATCAAAAGTTAGCTATTTTTTTCATTGGGGACTTTCATCAAACACCTGGTGGGCAAACTCAAAGTTGGTCAGGCCACAAGAACGTGCCAATAGCGAATGCCCTTTTCTCCTCAAGGGTACCTTCAAAACGGAGTCCATATTGTTTGAGAAGCAAATCCAATTTACCTTCTTCCATTTTCTCATAATCCGCCTTCGTGTACCTGGGATAATGGAGAGGCATTTGAAACCCACTTTCAAAATTCAAACCTCCATAAAAACAATCTTCCGCCTCCTTCACTTGCTCCACGTTCTTGATTCCTTCTCCCGCCTCGTTCTGATTGCGATGTTGCTTCTCTGTCAGCCCTAGAACTTGAGTGAAAGCGGAATTCAGAATCCACTTCAACCCCATTTTCGAGGGAAGAATAAGGAGATGAAAGCTTTTTGTTCTTCTTGGTTCTTGTTTCACCTGGCTTGGCTGTGCAGAAAACAGAGCAATTCCAAGTATATATATAGGGCGTTGGAATCATGGGAATACATGGAATTTTCTTGCGGAAAAAGGCAAACAATCGTTACCAATTGAGTGGGTTAAATGCCATTTGGTGCTAGAACTTTCTTGGAGTGGGTATTAGAGAAGCCACGTTAGCCCATTGTTTTGTGCTACCTTATGAAACTATCCCATCGGCCCATTGATATACACTGATATTTATTTCCGGTTTCAACGCTCATTTATGCCACCAAATGTTTCATGAATCTTCCAATAAAAGTAATAATATTCCCATTTCAAAATATCTTAGAGAGCGTTCGATCCACCCACTTGAATCGGGTGACCTTGAATAACGTCCAACACGTTGTTTCGTAAATTAGCATATTTGTTAAGGGTAGAGTGTTCGTGAGTTAAGTTGGGATGAGTCGGGTTGAAATATTTTTTAGATCAAATTCAATTATTCAAATTTTTTTTGATGGAGGAGACGTCAAGAGCCAACGAACCAAGAAACAGTTTTCAACTGCTCCTTACAGATTTAACGAGACTCCGCAACATTGAAGTCAACTGGAAGCACATTGAAGAGACCTAAAAGTCAACCTCAGCCTACAACACATAGTTGTAAAGAGTCGGTTGACAGAGATGTCAACCAATTGAGTGAGGGAGGATGTCACGGTCATGCTTGTCCAAAGCATATTGCGTATGGCCACATGACATATGTCTCAATCTTGCTTGTCTAAGTCGGTTGACAGGGAGAATGTCACGGTCATGCTTGTCCAAAGCATTTTGCTTATGGCAGCATGACAGATGTTGCAGTTTTGCTTGTTCGAGTCGGTTGACAGAGACGTCAACCAATTGAGTGGGGGAGGATGTCACGGTCATGCTTGTCCAAAGCATGTTGCCTATGGCCGCATGACATATGTCCCAATCTTGCTTGTCTAAGTCGGTTGATAGGGAGAATGTCGCAGTCATGCTTGTCCAAAGCATTTTGCTTAAGGCTGCATGACATATGTCCCAGTCTTGCTTGTTCAAGTCGGTTGACAGGGACGTCAACCAATTGAGTGGGGGAGAATGTCACGGTCATGCTTGTCCAAGGCGTGTTGTCTATGGTTGCATGCCCGTTCCAAACCCCTTTTTTCATACTTTCATCTTAGATAACCATTTACCATTTCATATTGGCTCAATACGGGGGTATACGACCATTCACGAGAATCACATGTAGACTCGTTTCGGCAAAAATGCCCCAAAATGTACTATAGGGGATATGACTAGTTGTCAACTTCTCCCTACCCAATAGTTATATGTTGTAAGTCGTTGTTGTCGCCTTTTTGCTTGCATCACATATAACACCCATTTCAATCTTGCTTTCAAAACTCTCATTCGAAATCTCTCTGCTCTATGAATTTTATTTCTAATAAAAGTAAAATTTTAATTTATAAAATATGTATTTATTTATTTTTAAATATTTAATTAAGTTTGCCATCCAATTTAAATATATATTTAAAAAATTACATTCCTTAAATTTATTTTTAAGATGGGTTAGAAAATAAATAATTAAAAAAAAAACATAAAATTATCTTTGTGGAAATAATAAGCGAACTTAATTTAATTCGAATAAGTTTATAATCCAATTGGATCTTACCGACTTCAATTCAATGGTGCACATGGCGAAGTTTCTAGACTTCTTTTTTTCTCTCTCCAAAATTTTTCTCCCGCTCTCACATTAATAATAAATATTTAGCATATTTAATTCTAATTTTTATATTTTATAATATTTTCTAAAAGATTTGTCGACATTTTCATAAAATCGAAACTTCAATATTTTTTTCTATCGTTGGTATTTTAATACCAATGTTACATAACAAAACATAATTGTCCCATCGTAATTTTTCTTATATAAGAATATAATATAATAAATAGTAAAATTTATTTAAAATTCATTCGGTTTTGAAATCACAAATTATTCAGTTATAATTTGACAACTAGAACATTTGTTTGAGATTCGAATCACTCCATAAACAAGATCGATCATGTCTAGCTTAAATGATTCTTCTTGATCAAATATCTTAAGACAAGAACATTTGTTTGAGATTCGAATCACTTCATAAGCAAGATTGATCATGTTGAGCTCGAATGATTCTACCTGCAACGTAAACAACATAGAATTGCAAAGAAACTTAGTCATTGGCTAAAGAAAAGCACAAGTGCTTCTTTTACTACATTTTCATGTCTACTTACAAATACAACATACATGACTTTATATAGTCTTAAAATTAAACTATTAAAGACAGTTCAAGAGTTAGTAACATTTCTACTCTATGATCATAATTAATCATTTACATAAAGTTAATAAAAAGTCTTAAAATATATTAAACTCTAAATGGTAATCCACCCAAAATTTAGAATGAAGTATGAATTGAAATATTTTTTTTTGATAATTTCAAGAGCATTTTTTTTCATATTGTATGATTAATGTCTCTTGGTTCATATCATTGTTCATATCAAACTCAAAGTTCAATTAAAGATTTTTTTTAATAACACTTTTAATTTTTAGCATAGAATATACAAACCCGTCTTTCAAGAACAAAATAGATTGTATTAGTAACGAGAAATATTTCTATTATTATTTATGACATTTTAGTTACGTGATAATGAAGCATTTTTCTTGTAGCCAAAGGTTTTAGGCCTAAAATGGAAGGAGGAGGAGGGGGAGAGATAATAGAAAAAGAGAGAGGAAAAAGGAAAGTTGTGTGCATTTGATGTGCTTTGTTTTTGTTTGTTTGTTGTCTTTTTTTAGGAACTTTGATGTGTTTGTTTTGATGTTGAACATGAAGTTTAAGAATCTTGTTTTGTTAAGTTCTTTTTTGTGTAGTTTTATAGGTATGATATTATACGTTTAACAAAGATATCTGAATAAGGCACGAAATCCTCGTTTAAACGAGGAATAGGAGAGAGGGAGGGAATTTTTTTTTATGTTTATAGAGACGTTTGAATAAGGCACGAAATCTTCATTTAAACGGGGCATAGGAGAAGGAGAACGGAAATTTTTTCTGCTTTTTAGCTAAATGAGACGAGGAACAATGATTATATTTTTTTTGTTTTTGTCACTGCCTAGATTTTACATTGTTGTGCTTTAATATATATCAAACTCGCGTCTCCAACGAACCCACAACTATACCTGAAGTCTTGTACTTTAAAAACCCTCAGACCTCACTTGTAGAAAAAGGAAACACGAAATGTCGAGGGAAAAGGATGGAAGATGAATGGTTTTGTCTTGTTGGACATAAACGCCGGTGAAACAGAGATCTTCGATCTAACAAACGACAGACGAGCAAACATGTAAAAGATTAACACGATCATTGTTCTGGGAAGATGAAGGCGAGCTCAATGGGTTTAGTATGGTTTCAGAATGTGTAATAACAACACCGACAAGGATGGGTTTAAGAAAAACGATAATGTCGAAAAATCTCATGTTTTTGCAAGTAGATAAGGTATTACAACGCCATGGAAGAGAGGACTAACGAGCCAAGGAACACCTGGATACACACGAATAATTACTACCAAAGAGTGTTTGTAGCTTTCAAACGTTTTTCACTACGCAATCATTGTGATGGGCTGGGCTTTAGTTTTTAGCTCTTAGCCTTAAACTTGTAGCTTATTTGAGAGTCCAAATATTGCCTTAAAGCTCAAAATGCCCCAACACCAAGTCTATTTTTGTTCGAACTCAACATCATTCAAAACTTTTAATTTAATGGTCGAGAATATGTACTTTAATCTTTTGAGTTATGTTCAAATTGGTCCAAACATATAGATGTTTTTGTAAATAATTTAGGTAAACTTTAGGATTTTTCTTAAAAAAACCATAAAAACATTAGATGTCAACGAAACATATTTAACCAATTTGAACATATTTCAACTCGTTAATATATATAAAAACCAAAGGATTAAAGGTTCTAGTTCTCCCGCTCCTGTCTGGTTGAACTCAAATATGTTCAAATTGGTATATATATATATTCTATCTGTCCAAAGGATATATATATATATTATATATATATATATATATATATATATATATATATATATATATATATATATATATGTATATGTATGTATATAATCAATTAATTAATTGAAAAATAAAAAAGAAAAAGTAAAAAGAAAACGACAAAAAGTCGACCAAAACTGAACTCAAAAAATAATTAAAAATAATTAAAAAGTCGATTTTGCACGGAAATCCAACTTTTATGAAGTTGTGTTTTGCCATGTATATCTTCCACTAAAAAAAGACTTTTGTGATATTCTATTAACTTTATTTTAATCTTTAATTATTATTTATTTTATGAAAATAAATTAAAATACGCTTTATTTATTTATTATTTGAACTCAAATTTATGAAATCATGTCTCCAATTTCAAAATAATTATAATGTAAATAATCGGATGAAGAAACCAATGTAAGGAATAACCATTAATTGTCATAGATAATTGAACCTTTAATCCTATTTAGAAAAACCCGTGTCGTGCTATACCATCTCGTTCTTGATCAACATTCATATTAGGACTTAAGAATGTCTCCAACAAGTTACTTAGTTCCTTCGTTGGAGAGTATTAAGAGGATATTTTGGAGATATATTAGTTAGAATATATCTCAGATATTTAGAGAGTTGTTAGTATAAATTTGATTAATAGTGTATTTTATTTATTTACGAGATTTAGTCTATTTTTAGGTATTAGTTAATAGTTTGTATCTATTTAAACGTGGTAAACCTGAATGAAGTATATACATTTTTCCAATTCTATTTTCTATTTCTATTTCTTAACAGAGAGGTTTCCACACCCTTTAAAGAATCTAACAACCCACCCCCTTCGTGTCCAGCGTCCTTGTTGGCACATCACCTGATGTCCACCTCCCTTCGAGGCTCAGCCTCCCACTGGGGTGTCTAGCTTGGATACCATTTGTAATAGCTCAAACTCAAACTTAACAGATATTGTTTTATTTGGACTTTCCCTTTTGGGCTTTCCCTCGAAGTTTTTAAA